ATATAAGCTTCCATGTTCCAGCCGATTTGATCTCTGAAGACCGTATTCACAACTCTTTGAAATAAGTCAGGCCGAATGGCATAACCTTGTAGCAATATAGACCTTACTCGGTCACAAACGCTGTTTTCTCTTGATCTTCTTCCAATAAAGTAATCTGGTGAAATCCGGAGTATGCGTCCATAAAGCTCATTAGGGCATGCCCGACCGTTGAATCTACCAAACGGTCAATTTTAGGCAAGGGAAAACTATCCTTAGGGCATGCCTTGTTGAGGTCAGTGTAGTTTACGTATATTCTTAAAGTTCCATTCGGCTTCTTAACAAGAACTACATTTTCTACCCAATCAGGATAGTGACATTGCCGAATGAAACAGGCTTCTAGCAGCTTTTTGACTTCAGCTGCGGCCGCCAGATTCCTTTCTTCACCGTGGTTTCTCTTTTTTCTGTCGAACAGGCTTCACAGCCGGATTCACAGCTAACTTGTGAATAGCTAAGTCTGGCTTGATACCTGACATCTCATAAACTTCGAAAGCAAACACATCTCTGAATTCTCTTAAAAAATTCCCCAAGTCATTTCCAAGCAAGCTCACGGCCATAGTGTCAACTTTAACCGTCCAATCAAGCTGGTCTAGTCCAGCACTATGTTCGTATGATCGCCGGCCGGCTGTGGCCTTAACTCTTCTAGCCGACCGACGGTCATTAGCTGCTATGCTTGCTCTTTCTTGATCGACTTGCGCTTCTGGCCGACCTGGTATGCTTAGAGTGACCCTTCTTTGAAATTTCGCTTGGACGTTTTCCCATGTCCGCGCGTTGTTAGCCTTACGGCCAACTGATTGCATTCTTTTACCATTTTCAAATTTCCCTGAATGGAACCTATCTTTCCGTCCGACCGCTCAAACTTCATCAGCATCAGATGAGGGACAATTACTGCCTTAGCTGATGTCAAAGTTGGGTGGCCGATGATAACATTGTAGCCCGTAAGCTCTTTAACACCAAGGAAGCATACGACCATGTCCCTTCCCTCTCCTTTTTCCATAAATCGGACGGGCAGGTCTATCCGTCCGACTGGGTGAATGATACTCCCCCTGAACCCAACCAACGGGTGAGAGATATCTTTTAGGGCGTCCTTTGGAAAATTCAAATTCTTCAGACAAGCTAAACTGATTATGTCGGACGAGTTGTCTGTGTCTATAAGCACTCGTCCAACCTTAAAATTGGCGACTTTCAAGATGAACACCATGGGGTCATTGTGAGGGGCTTTGATATTGCCTTAGTCCGTCTTATTGACCGTCACTTCTTAAAGGACTCAGTATTTACCCCTTGGTGTGCATTACATTTTTCAAAATTCTGAGCATCCTACTTGATTCCCTTCATGGTCAGGCCGCCTACAGCAAAACCGCCTGATATGACGGCCACAAACCCTGAGTCTGTGCTGTTTCTATCATCATCTTTTCCTTTGTTTTTCTTCTTCTCGAATTTGTTGTTTATCTAAGAGTAGGTGAACTTGGACTTTAGAACGTACGAGTTGAGCATGCTCTTCTCGGCAAACTTATCCAGCCACCTCTTCAAATTTTTGCAGTCGTTCGTGTCATGCCCCAGATCATTGTGGTAATGCCAGTACTTGTTCTTGTTTTTATACCGGGCCGGCCCTCTCAAAGGCTGAGGCTTCTCAAACTCGAACTTATCTTTGATCTTAATTAAGATTGAATAGCAATCCTTTTTGTACTCAAACTGGGGCTCGTACGTCTTGGCTTTCTTAAACTTCTTTCCTTTCGTTGCCTCCCTCCTTTTTTTTGCCAGCCGAGTCTTGCCGAGAAGGTTGTTTCTTCTCGGCCCCCTTGGCTGGCTCTTCTGATTTCGTAAGAGAACAAAAATCAGCTGCCTCTATATATGATTCGGCCTCTGCCAGAACACCTGCGTATGTCTGAATCTTTTTCCTGACCAATTCAAACTAGAAACCATTATGCCTTCAACCTCAAAGGAACTCCAAGTAGGCCATCTCATCCGTCAGATTCTGAATTTGAGCTTAACCTCTGGACGTACGAGCGCAACCCCTCTTTCTTTTCCTGGACGATGGTCGCCAAGTTAAGACTAGTCTTCCAGGGTGGAATATTATAGGAGAAATTTCCAAAAAATAATAGACTGAGAGTTATAAAACAGTTAATGCATCCAGTCGGTAGGCTGTTGAACCAGTCTTTGAGGGTGGTCGGGAATCATTTGCACCATGTGACATAATCCACACTTTGTAGGTAACTTAGGTTTCTGTACGAGGTGACGTGCTCTTTTGAGTTGCCCGTACCATCATAGGCACCCACAAGTACACTCTTCACTTTTGCTAGTTGGGGAGAGTTGAGAATTTCTTCAGAAAATGGAGGCAGCTTGTCACCAAAATTCAACAAGCGTATTTGCCAATCAATAGGCTGAGCTTGTGCAGCCGGTCCATCTAGATAAGTTGTCTGGTCGTACGACTAGCCATACTACTCGTACTGTCCAAAGACAGGGGGAGTAGGCGGCAAAATTATGCCATAGTTTTGGGGCATCAAGTATTGGAGTGGTTGAGTTAGAGGAACAGGAGTTGGAGTACGATGAGCTTGACTTCTGCTGGTCCGAGCTGAGCTGGTATGCTTGGAGAGGGTGTGGTTTGAGATATTAGCTGGCATGGTAGGAGTAGAGGCAGTGTATGAGTAGTGTGCCCGCTCATGCTGCTTGTACCGGAGATAATCCTTCATATCCTTCCACCGTTGGGACGGCTCGGTTAGCTGCCTCAGAAGAAGCCCGATCTGCCCCCCAGCCAACTGCGTTTTCTCAAGGAGCCTTGGTGACCTTGCATGTTGTCGGAATGGGGTATTCCCAGCATCTTTAGCATTGACCACCTTGCTCTAAGTTTAATTTAAAGCACCTTCTCCCTCCCTTCTGGACGGTTGTCTATAAGAAGAAGGGATCTTACTCTCAAACTCCCTTCGAAGCTTGCTCAAAGCGGCCTTCAAGGAACCAGCAACCAACGGAGAATCCTTGGTTTCATGGAATGAAGCAGTCAGAGGATCGCTTGTGTTGATTGTAGCAATGAGATTCTCTACATGTTCGTCCTTACCAGCACCGGGTGTCTGACCATCTTTAGCCAATTTAGAAGATTATCCCCATAGAGGGCGTCAAATGTTTCGGGGTTTTTTGGAATTCCTCGGGATACTGGTCTTGAACATGGCCGGATGGACGCGGACACCTGCAAAATAACGAATATTCCGTTAGACGTGACCGAAAACGGAATAAATGTAGAGAGAGAAAGTAAAGAGAAGTTGGAGCTTATAGTGCTCTTAGAATGATATGTCTTAATCCACCCCTCCCATCATAAATGATTGGGGTATTTATAGGGGTGGGAAAGTGTGCCCTCTAGCGTTTGATAACCTAGGATGGCATGCTGTGATTGGCGGCGCAATCAGGTGAAGGCATGTGTCCATACACTAGTAGAAAAAATGAAATAGGCACCCCCCTTTTAGCACTGGTTCTTGAAAACCGGTGCCAAATGAAATGGGCGGGATTGAAAAAATCAGTATTGGCACCGGTTTCGACCAAAACCGGTGCCAATCATTTAATTTTTTCCATCTTTTATTTTCCCTCTAGTTTTCGCCTTCTCTTCCACCATCCCGAATTTTCACCTTCTCCGTTGAAGTGGTTTACGAGCTTTCTCACTCCATTGAAGCAGCACCTCCTTCTCTCTCCATAGCTCTGGTCTCCATTGAACTCGTGCTCTATATTCTCCATTGAAGCCGATTCTGAGCTTTCTCACCTCCATTGAAGCAGCATCGAGGTAATGTGGTCTTCTTAATCTACTGAATTCCTTCGCAATCTAGGGTTTGTCGTTGATTTGGTTTTCAATTTCGTAAATTAAGGGTTCAGGTTTTAGGGTTCTGGTTTTATTTCTCACCTCCATTGAAGCAGCTTCGAGGTAATGTGGTCTTCTTAATCTACTGAATTCCTTCGCAATCTAGGGTTTGTCGTCGTTAATTTGGTTTTCAATTTCGTAATTTTAGGGTTCTGGTTTTATTTCTATTTTTTTAAGTTTAGTTTCAATTAATTAACCATAAACCCTAAGTTTTTTAATTTTAATATTTTTTATTCGATCATTTGTAGGAATTGTCAATCTAGTTTGTTTGCTCCTAAAAAGAGTTCAAATTCAAAGGTTAGTGGCTATTTTTTCCAATGCTCTTATAGTTTTATATGTTAGTTATTAGTAGCAAAAATGGTACAAAATGATCTTATAGTTGGTTGTTTGATTGGATTTTGATGTAAAATATAGGAGAAAGCAAGAGCAGTAGGGCTGCTGAGAAGTGAGAACATGGCAAATTTAGTTGGGTGTTGTTGTGAGGGTGATGAGAGATTGCTAGTTGCTGAGTTCATGCCCAATGAAACACTTTCTAAGCATCTCTTCCACTGTGAGTATCATCTAAATTCATAACTTTCTTGTTTAAGATTGAAATGTTGTGACCTTGACTATGCATTTGTTATTTTTCTATCAAAGGGACTTTGTATGTGTCGTGTTGAATTAGGCATTGCTTTTGTGTTTTCGATATGTAATAATCAATGAGGTATGATTACCATGGTACGTTGCTTGAAGATGCTAGAGTTTATGCCTATTATTAATTTTCGAGAAAGTACAATGTTTTCGACAAGGGGAAACAAGTTCTATCTAAATTGTTTGTGCTGAGTTAGCAATAGTCAATGTACAACCAGTGTATTCTAAATAAAGGGTTGCACCACATCATTGGTGTAATCTTCTTAAGACTCTCAAACAGACAGGGAGAACTTAGGGCAATGTCGATATAATCAAATATTTTTTTTAAAGTTTTTTTAATTGATTAAGATTGTTTTTGGTACGTTTGTGCACATCAGTTTTACAACGTTCATTATGAGACTTAAATGGTTAGGAAAGCTCGTTTGTAGATAGAGTTTCCATGTAGTTGACTTTGATTCATGGGTGAAGTTGTTGTGTTTATGGTGCTATTGTATTTTGGTTTAAGTTTCAAATTGTTTATTTACTTCAGGGGAAAATCAGCCTTTGAAATGGGCTATGAGGTTGAGAGTGGCATTGTGTTTAGCACAAGCCTTGGAATATTGTAGCAGTAAAGGAAGATCATTGTACCACGACCTTAATGCTTATAGAGTTCTATTTGACCAGGTATAATTGAACTTGTATTTTTGCTCTTGTCTCTATCCTTTTCTCCATATACTCTATGTCGTGACTCAGCTTTAAATAGGATGGTAATCCCAGGCTCTCTTGCTTTGGCCTCATAAAAGACAGCCGAGATGGAAAAAGCTATAGTACAAATTTGGCTTTCACTCCTCCTGAGTACATGAGGACAGGTACCTGGCCCTTCCTAAATGATTCATTTTGCCGTAAGTATAGACTATGCTGAATGGTATACATGACAATATTGACTTGTCCTGATCTCCTTGATGATTGCATATTTAATGATGAAGGTCTCTCTCTAGTTATGTGTGCAGAGAACGTTATAAAGCTGTTACAATGGAGCTGCTAATTTCTGAGAGCATGCTTTCTCTAGGAAGCTAAGGCCCTGCTTTCTAATTGGCAAGTCGAATTTTCTCCAGAGAGCGTGATCTACAGTTTTGGCACCTTACTGCTTGACCTGCTCAGTGGGAAACATATACCGCCAAGCCATGTAAACTTCAAATTTTCATACAAGTTTCAGTGTGTCATGTCATGTTTTACCCTCTTAATGCTTCATTAACCTCTATATTCAGTGTGCTACTCCAGTAACTCAACTTGAACTAGAAAGAAACAAGCATCTAAGAATCCCTGAGAACTCATATATTAGTATCTCAATATCCTTGTGATTTGGTTTTTATTAGACACATCAAAATTTTTTCGTGAAAGAATTGTAGGGCTAAATTGTAAGTCCTCTTATTGGAGTTGGCTTAGCTTTTTACATTCCCTTGAATTATTTAATGTTTGCAATACTTTAGAAATTGGATTTGGATATTAAGTTTTGTCAAACTACGAAACATGTTAAGTATCGTATCACGCTCTCCACCTTTCCAACTACCCCTCTGTCCCAAAAAAGTATATATCTTGTAAACTCTTTAGCTCACTTTGGCTCTCTAATCGCCTTAGGTCTTGGCACACCACTCTAAATGGTTACCCGATATTTTGGGAACACAATACATAAGATTTTAACTCAGAATTCTCTTGATTTTCCCACGCACTTGATCTCATACGTGGAAAAAACCTTTCGATGTTGATCGACTCTAATTTAGAGGGCCATTTTTCAAATGATGATGGAACTGAATTAGTATGATTAGCATCACGTTGCTTGCAGTATGAAGCTCGTGAAAGGCCTAATGCCAGATCTCTTGTGACAGCTCTTACTCCACTTCAGAAAGAAACTGAGGTGAGCCTAATTTAATTCCTCTCCTGAGACATTTGTGTTTTTTTTTTAAATTAATGCACTGGATAAATTTCTTGGCTTTACCAGCCAAACACCTTGTTTGAGAGATTAATGCTTGAGAAGATACATCATCTTTAGCACAAAATGCCTTGACAAACAGCTTTAGCCTATCTGTCGCATTCTCTACAAATAATTTGCTATTTTTTGTCACCTGTATTACATACATAAACACTTCTCTTAGTATAATTACCATACATACACAATTATATTACAAGGGATAAAAAAAGGATTAAATTGCTATTGCTATTGTTAGTATAATTAATTAGCAAAAAGAAGTATCATGGATTTTGTAATCAGTTAAGCAATTATGGATTTGTCCCAGAAAGCTCTACTGCATCTTCTTGTTAGTACTATATTATAGTGCTTAATTAATATCATAATTCTGGAATCTTACACGTTTCTGATTTTAGAAATTATGTGAATAACTTGACCCTGTGGCTCAAAGCTTTGGTTATTGTGTCGTGTTTATATACAAGTATGATATTGGGGAATTACGAGTACACTTCTATTATCAATAAAACAAGGGGGTAGTTGCAGCAGGGAGGGGGGAGGTGCAGCAGGGGGCCGGAGCAGGTGGAGCAGCAATGTATTAATCATCGGATAAAGGGCCCTGAATCTATTGTTGATCATATGTATCGAATGGGGTTGATGGGTTTGATTGCTGGGGACATTCCGGGTGTGAACAGGGAGAGGTTGGATGTTAACTAATTATGCTTGTTTTGGACATATTGATATTTCCTTTGCTGATGAGCTGTATTATCTTCTTTTGACAATGCTTTGCACAGATGTATGAAAATGGCAGTAGTTCAAGATATTGCTTAAGGTATACTCTTTTTTTTTTTTTTACAATATCTTATATTCTCATGGTATTTTAAGTTGTTGATATTCTTTGTGACAAGAATCAGCTTGCCTATATTTTTTATTTCTTAACTGCATTAGGACATCAGAGCAATAACGAGCAAGATAGCCCAGCAAATAGGAGTACATCAGAGCGGTCAGCAGCTCACCAGTACCGCAACACAGAGGACCACGCAGAAAAACACAACAAACACAACACTACAACAAAGCAGCAAACACCCAGCACTACAGCAGAGCAGCAAACACCCAGCACAGCCTAACTAGAGCTAAATAGAAACACAACAGCTCAAGACCTCAAACCAATCACCCAGCCAGCCTGAACATAACAGAGACACAACCATAGAGGAAAACAGATGCTAGCCAGCATGAACAGGCAAAGGCACAGCAGCACATCAGAACAGAAATAGCAGAGCAGTCTGGATTATTTAATTTTTTTTGGATGGAAATTGTGATATTACAGCCTTTTTTAATGAAAAATATGTAACTTTATATATATATTAATGTTTCTATATCAATTTAAGTGAAAAAATGCAAAAGAAAAAAAAAATTTTGGGGTATTTTAAGCACCAGTTTGGACCAGAACCGATGCCAAAAGTTTTTTTAAAATTTTTTTGAGACTTTTGGCACCGGTTCTTGCTTTGAACCAGTGCCAATAGTATTGAAATTAAAAAAAAAAATCCCGCCATGGTAGTTGGCACCGGTTTTGAACCGGTGCCAAATTTTTATGGATTTGGCATCCCTTAAATACCCCACGGTTCAAAACCGGTGCCAAAGGGGGGGTTTGAACCGTTGCCTTTTTATCTTTTTCGTCTTATGATATGGGGGGCCGTTTTGCGGCTTTCTCGGGATTTGGGCCTCGTGATGTAATGAGGCCCTTTTTTCTTATTTCAGGTGCTCTTTATGCTTTACACGTGTCATCTTCCTATAAGGACATGTGTCGCCTGTTAATGAGGCCACGTGTCGCTATAGGATTGGACCACGTATTTGGGTATCTTTACCCTAAATAGGTTCAGCCGGTGTTCTAGGGGAAGGGATGGTGGGTTTGCGGGAGCGCAAAGAAATAAAAGGATCGAGCTGGGGGTTGGTTCCTGCGGTGGCGCAAAGAAATAAAAGGATCGAGCTGGGGTTAATGGTGATGGGTACTGGTTTGAAGAAGGGGGTGCAGTGGGTTTTTTCTTTTTGTATAATTGTTTTTAGTAATAACTAAAATAAAAAAATTTTAAATTCAAAAATGTGAAAGAAAGTGACCTATTTGATAGCTTGTAGGTCATTTGACTTGTGTAAAATTAATACCCTTTAAAATTCAACTTATTCTAAGTTAATTCAAAGGTTTACTTATTTCAAGCTAACCGCGTAAATGTGGACTTATTTTTGACAAATTTTCCTTTCTTTTAAGCTTTCTTCTTAGCTTTCGTAGTTTCCCTTGGCTTAGTAGCCAAGCGATAGTGTAATTTATCACATAGCATGTATTGAAGATCGTTCGTCTTTTCCAATTGTATGATCATGGAGGTAATATCTCCTTTAACTTGTAAAATTGTAGACCAGACTCTATCCTTTAATTAATGAAATGCATTTGTATCTTTTGTCATATGTATCTCTACTCATTTCTTTGAACAATCTAACTTGTTTTACTTCTTTTGGGAAAGCTTCCTCATTGTTTGTTTTTACGTTAGCAAGGTTATCAATCTTCAAAATCGATAACTTGAGGGGCAGCCCACTAATACTCTAGAATAAGATAGTATTTAACTTGTTGGTACAGAAAAATATTTACCTCAATAAGTTTTTTGGCGACCATATTGAGAGAACATTAAACTAAATCCATTTAACTTTGTTAATTTAGAAGTTTTTCCTATTGCTCCTAAGCGTTCAGCACGTAAAGGAAACACAATCCTGTACACAATCATGAGACTAATTTAAAGGTGTTGGGTTTCGTAGCGTCCAACGCAACGCGGAAGAGAAACCCGCCCAAGACCCGCCCCAATAATTAAAGCAATAAAGCATGCATAAATATAATTAAACAATAATTAAGAAAAGGGATAAAGAAGTAATACCCTTGAAGCGTGCTTCGCTCGCAAACCGAGCTCTTACTTCGAACCTTAAAGCCTCACAAGCGTGACGGCCTCCAACGGCTCATACTCACGACCCGACCCAAACGATCTTCGCCTCGAGGGTTAGTCGAGACTTGACCAAGTATAAACTAGAGTTTTACAAACTTAAAGGTTTTCTCAATAATAAGAGATGCCTTTTTGAATGGACAAGTTGTTTCCCAAATGCCTAATCATAGGGTATTTATAGGGAAATGCAACTTGCTCTTCCCACTCATGATCAATCTGGGATAGTTGAATTTTTCACTAATTTATTTAATTCCAAAATAAATTATAAAACAATGCAATTACAAATCAACAAGTGGCATGAGGAGAGGAGAGGTTAGGTGAGGACCATAAGCATGGGAGGGACGATTGCCTTGCTCCCCAAGGCATGGCTCTAAGCCTTGGTCCCCAATCTCCTCAAACCGGTCTCAAGGAAGGGGTGAGCTGGCAGCCCACCTTGCTGCCTAGCTAGCACTGCCAGCCTATGCGCAGCTAGCATAGCCAGCACGCATTGGCTAGCAAAGCAAGCACGCACCAGCCAGCACGCCTAGAACATGCGTGCAGCTAGCTGTAGGGCGCTGGGAAATGCCTGGCATGGTGCTCGCCCTTGCCACACACACACACGCACAGCATGCTTGCTGGCTGGTGCGTGGCGATAGGCCCAAGCACCAAGGTGCTGTTGCTGCGATGGCATGCACGTACACGCACACACGCACAGGCCTAGCAATGCGATTGTGTTGTGCTATGTGTAGGCATGCACGCAAGCACGTATGGTGCATCGATGGTGCTGCCATGCGAGGCACGCACGCACGCAAGCACCTAGTGCTAGCTATGGTGCGCTAGGCACACTTGGTGTGTCTAGGCTTGCGCCTATCCAT